ATGCATATCTAGTAAAAATAAGGTAAAAGAAAGAAAAATATAAAAACAAAAATAGTAGTGATTAAGGTTTTGGAAAACAATGAGGAGTATAGAAAAAAGTCTTTAAAGTAATTTATGTAAAGAAATATACATGTCAAAGATATAAGCAAAAGATTTAAAAAAAGAAATCTTTAGTATATTGTTAGTTTTTGCTACAAAAAAGATTATGAAGAAGCAAAATTAATATTAGAAAACAAAAAAAAAGAATATGAATAAACTAAATTTATATTAGAAGAAGAGCTAGAAGAAAAGACAAATAATACAATATAAGAAAACTATAAGAAAGAAGTTACAAATTATAAAAAAAGAATTAAAAGAGAAAACTAAATAGTGAAAGAGCTAGAAGAAGTTTATAAACAAAAAAAAAAAAAAAGTAAAGCAATAATTGAATAGCAAGAACTTGTAAAAAAAGATAAAGAAGAATTAAAACAAAATAATGAAATAGAATTAGAATTAAAAAAAAACAATAATAAGATAATAATTTAGGATCTACTAATTTGAATAAAAAGAACTAAAGTATTTGAAACAGTATATTTTATAGGAAAGGTTAAGCATATAGAAATAATTAGAACTAAATATGATATGACAAGAGCAGAAGTTGAGTTCAAAATAAGAACTTATAATGAGAAGAAAATAGAAAAAACTTGGTATTTGCTATTTATGAATTAACTTTTAGTAAGAAAAATACTAGGTACTAATAATCAGAATATATTTTATGAAAGAAACAAATATAGTCTAAAATTACTAGATCTACTTGAAAATACAAATAAAATACTTCTTTGAAGACAAGTTAAGAAAACAGAAGCTAAAGCATTTCATATATTCAAATAATAACAAGATAGAAAGTATAATAGTCTATTTTAATGAAGAGAAAAACAGGATAAATAGTCTAATGTTTTTAATATATTATTATAATAATAAATTATAATAGTTAGAAATAAGAAAACAAGAAGCAGAATTAGCAAATAAAATAAAAATAGAAGAACAAATAAATACTATAAAGAAGAAGTAAAAAGAGTTTAGAAAAAAGAAGAGTTTAAATAAGAATAAGAAGGAGAGTACTCAAAATATATAAAGACAAAAAGCAAAAATAGAGAAAGTGATAAAAGAAAAGCAAAAATCTCAATATTAGAGAATACGCAGAAAAAAGAATAGAAACCTATAGTATAAACAAAGAAAATCTAAGTAAGAGAGAAGAAAACTCTTATGAACAGAGAAAAGAAAATAATTTCTAAAAGAGAAATAGATATAACACAATTTTGAGAAATAATAAATAGAATTTCTAGTTAAGCAAAGATATATCTTTAATTCGTGATCCGCATACCAATCAGTGATCGATATATGATTAACAATATATTTATGCGGGGATAGTAAAAGTAATACTTTTTTATGAGCTTTAGAATCTACATATTTCTTTGATAAAAAAAATGACAAAACACAAAAAATATTTAGTAACACTTATTTCTTCTGGGAATATTGATTAAAAATTACACTTTGGATCTTTTTCGCGAAATTGGTAGCTTTCACGTCCAGATAATACTTCATCTTGCTTATTTCTTTATCCTATACGTATTGGAATGAAAACTCTTACAACTATTAATAACAAAGATTTTATAGTTACGGTAGTTCAAGAAAACAATAATTTTAAGCCTGGTTATATTTGTCAATCAGATGGAATTTATAGTGATATATGTGAAAGTTCAACTATGGCAATAACATCTGTTTATCAACGTATATTTGCTGTAGCAACTAAATATGCAGGACCTTTAGTAATGGGTTTTGATCAACATATAATTTCAAATCAATTACTTTTTGATATTACTTTCCGTCCTTTTTCTTTCAAACTTGACAAAATAAATCTGTTAATTTTTGGTATTGGTAAATCAAAAAATTCTGAATGGAATTACGGTGGAGAAGAATATAAGTCATTATTTATTTGGAATTATCAAAAAAGTAGATCATTATTTGTTCAAGAGTTTGAAGATAACAAGGCTATAGTTCGAATATATCAAGCGACTAAAGAAATTGCAATATTTCAAAACACTAATCCAA